CCACACCCTCCTATCCGTCTTCCCGTGCCTCCCGCTTGGGCTTCCAGAAGCGCTCCAATCTCTATCTATGTGCGTACATTCTCCGTATAAGGGACCCCTCTTGTTAATTGGTAACTGTAGATTTGACCTTGGGTAGCTTGATGCTGCTCTTTTGTGTGAGCCAACTAGTGATCCTTTTCACGGCGTCTCCTCTAGATATTCTCTTGCCTCCAGGTAAATGATTTCTGCTAATAGGTTGTCAATATAACTAACGGTTGACATAGGCGAAGCCTATTGGTTCAAGCAAGGGGTCCGCAAAGGTCAGTGACCACCTCGAAACTTCAACAAGCGTTAATCCCTTCTCAGTCATCTTATACATTCACATGTACACTATGATTCGTAAGGAATTTTATCCATTTGTTAACCTGGAGCTGACGCAGAGTAGCATGTGGGATCCTGATGGTCCTTCAATTCATCCCAAGGATCCGTAAAGTACGTCCTCTCCACTTTCTTTCTCTAATAATCAAGCTGATCGTGTCGGTGATGCAGAGCATTCCAGCTTTACATCGTCTCAATGGCCGCATCGTCCTTCTCTCGTCCATCCCCGGTGCTATCACCGCCATTTTGATGACTCCTAATACATTCGGGGGTGAAGCAGCAGGTAATCTTGGACTTCTTGTTGTCTTCGTCGGTATGTCCGTCTCGGGTGTTCTGGGGTACTACAATATTCGAGCTGGTAACATTGTGGAACACCGCAAGTGGATGCTCCGTAAGTCTATGAAATATCCACGAGTGTTTAGAAGCTAAATACGAGTCGTAGGTTGGATGGCTTATTTATCTTCAATTGTCACCCTTCGACTCTTTTTGGGCATCTCTGGCCTGATTGTCACCCTAACCGGATCCTACAGCACCGTACGCTACTTATCGCCAATCTATTCCCCTACCTCTGACCTTTCATTATTGTACAGATATGGACATGTGAAGAAGTCAACTACACACTCCAAAACGAAGCCTCTAACGGTACTTTGTACACCTACCCAGAGTGCATCGTCAACCCTTCCACCTCGCATCAAGTGATCGTACCTGCCGACATGTCTGAAGAGCCTCTTGGTGTCGCATCGGCATTCCGAAGTGGGTTTGGAGCGGCAATGTGGCTCGCCCTCACCCTCCACGTTCTTTTCGTGGAACTCTATGTGAGTGATTTCTCAATAACTATGACCCTTTTTGACGTTCCGACAGCTTTCATACTCCTCCAAGGAATTAAAGGTGTCAAAACGTGTCGTGTAAAGGAACGGACATTTTTACCATTATGGTTTTTGTATGACCCTAATCAATGGATAAATCTATCATAACTCTTATCAAGTAATCCCTTTTCGATGTCTATAACAT